CGCTCTGGGCTGGAGGCCAGGCCTTGGAGGGGAAAAGCATGGAACCCCACAGCCTGGATTCAGAGCCCAGCTCCACTCTGCATGGGGATGAGGTTTTCGTCTCTTCTCACATCCTCATCTGGGAAGTGGCGGTGGCTTAGCTAACATCACAGAAACAGTTGAGAGGGGGTCAGAGATGATCAACTATGTCGAGCAGAACACACAGTACATAACATCCACATACACCGCTGTCCTCAGCCCAGTCCCCTCTGGCCTGCCAGGCCCTGTAGTGAGGCCGTGGTCCATATGGATCGGGAAAAGCCTGGAATGTCAGCATGAGGAGCTGGAGCTTAATCCTGTGAACAGTGGGAACGTTTTCATGGAAAGTTTTTGAGTAAAAAGTGTTGGTGTGGTTAAGTTGGATTAGATGCAGGAGGGGGAGAGGGCAGGATGGGTAGAAAGGGAAAAATGAGCAGGGAAAGGGGCTAGAGGACATCACCAAGGCATGAGGCCTTATGTCAGGAGGGCTGGGTGGCGGCCCTGGGGATGGAAGCCCAGCGCACATGACAGAGGCTCACCCTTAGCCTCCAGGGGCCCCCCACCCAGTCGATGACTTTCTCTGAGCCAGAGCACAGTGGGTTCCAGAGGCTCCCCATGATCTTATCTAAGGACCCAAAGGAGAAATGTCCCGGCCTCACAGCAATCTCCCTCCTGCAGCAGTCTCCCTCTGCGGGGGGGGGGGGGGGGGTGTCCCGGGGACCCCACTTTGAGTCACTCACCCTGTTCGGTGAAGCAGCTGAAGACTGTGCCCCAGCTGTTGGCAGGGAAGCTCGCCTCCCTCCCCAGTCCCCCAATCTTGATTCTCTGTGCCTGGAAGAGTGAATGCATCCATTAGGGTTGAATGTCTCCCTTTTCCATTAAATAATAGCTCTGGGCAAGCCATTAGGTCTCCCCTGAGTGAAAGACAAACAGTTGAGATTTCAGTGTCATTTTTTAACATGGATCAGAAACAGGGCAGGGGCAGCAGGAGAGGGATGCTCCTCCAGGCTGTCTCCCCTGAGCATACGCACACCCCTCTCGGGAGTGAGTAGGAGAGAGCTGGGGGGAAGGATGAGGGCGGTGGGGGCATGCTCCCTGGAGGCCTGAGACAAGAGTAATGTGTCCAACCTACAAACATGGACAATTGACTTTTTATTTCCAGAGTTTTGAATTTGTTATCCCTTAAGATAAATCTGGCCTACAGATGTGTTTTGTTTGGCCAAACACAATGGTTTAAAATTTTTTGAATTATTGCCAATTTTTAAAAATCAAGAGACTGCACGTGAAAAACTGGAGTTGGGCTTCCAGACTGTTTGCTGTGTGACACTGGGCGGATCCCGTGGCAGCCAGATCAGCAAGCTGTGTCATGGCTGCCGGGTCATTTAAACAGAAGGGGGCTGCTCGCCAGAGACCCCCAGCCTGATCCCTCTTTTCCTCAACTGATAGCACATTAGCTTGTAAGCCCTGGTTTAAAGTAGGCTCAGACTGGGCAATTAATGAACTCAACGTGAGGGGCAGTCTCGACGCTTACCTAATTGAGAAGGGAAGCAAGCAGGAAAGGAAAGGTAGATCGAAAGGAGGCTGTGTTACCAGGCTGTGGAGGCCAGCATCTTGTGTACAGCTTAGTCTTCTGTCATAAGGGGTGAATTCACCATCAGAAGGGAGCTCACCCCTGCAAACAAGTTCCTGCTGCCCAGTTGAAGTCACTGGAGTACACCCATTAGATTTGTGAATTATGTCTGAGGTCCATCCTGCTTCAGGTCAAATCCCATTAGCAGTGAACTCAAGGACTCAAAAAGAGTTTTTACAAAAAGGGAGTTCATTTTCTCATCTTGCTCTTCTCCTTCCTTGCAAAAAAGACAAACTTCATGGCACCCCAAGGGTCAGCCTTCTTAGACTAAGATTAAATTGCCTCTGCTCACTTTGACACAGGAGCTCAGGATCCCACCTCCATTACTACCAAAAAAAAAAAAAAAAAAAAAAATCCCTGATTTTCAGAGTTGCTTTGTTAAACAGATATCCAAAGTGAATGGTTTGGTTGAAAAATGGTTTTCCATGTTCTTTGTGTTCATCCTTCAAGTTCACAGTCATCACCCATCAGCACCTGGGAGTACTTAGTACTCAGGATAACTAGAGAAAGAGTAAGTTCTGCTTGCTTTGAACACAGCCAGCATTTATCATATGCTCTTGGACTGGCCATTGCTAATCAGCCCTTTCCCTCACCTCCTGGCTTTTGTGCTTATAAATCAAGAGGCCCCAGTATTAGTCACCATAAATGATAGTGAGTATAAGTCACCGCCTTCATAGATCACTTTGTGCCTCAAATTCAAGCTAAGCTAAAATCTTAGCACACATAACAGGAGTAGGAGTTGTTTTGACAGAACCCTTTTCACACAAGGCTTATGAGTCTGAGCATTAGCTCTAGATTCTGCACCCTTCCCAGCTCTTAGAAGATTCGGCATGATAGGAGGCCAAAAGGAAGACTATTTACTCATTTCATGTTTTCCTTTCCTGGACTCAAGAAATGTATTTGGAACCCAAAGGATTTGAAACAGCAATGGCTCCTTAGTGGTATCGTCTTGGGACTCAGATACTTTAAAATACTTAACCCTCCTCACAGGTGGCAGCTGAGTAAGATTCTTCTACTGGCATTTTCACTGTCCGCCAAGAAAGCCATAGTTTATGCCTTCACCAACCATCTGTCCAACTGGAAAATTCATTTCCTGCTCTTGCAGGGCACATGATCAAGGGCATTGCTGTCCCGAAAAAAGAAAGACTGTTTGCAATCCAACTCCCTCATCTAGAAACTTCCTTCCCCTACTGACCAAAACGCTGCTGGCCTGCCCTGCAGTGCCCTGCTCATGTATTTATGGCTGTGGAGTTGCTCATTTAAGGCTGTGGAGTTGCTCATATGCATGCTGGCTGGTATTTTTTCCATCACACAGTGTTGCTTCCCATATCACACAGTTTTTGAGTTTCCCATATCAACCATTTTCTCTTTTTAAGTAGAACAATCCCAAGCTAAAGTAGCTAATCAGAGGAGTAAAACCTCACCAATTCCAGCAGAGAGTCTGTCTGGGGGAAAAACTGGAGTAGACACTGGAGGCCTGTTTCCTCTTCTATAAGATAAGGGCATAAGTTCTGATGGTCAAAAGTACATTTAGACTAATGTTAAACCACAGCTTATCAAACCTAAGATGCCATCAATTATAAGAAATGCCATCTTTCATGTCTCAACAAGAAAATTTTAAAAACTGCCGCTGGTTAAATTTTCCCAAAAATTATTACAGAGTGACAGTTCTACATCTTCCTTATTTGAAACTATAGAAATAATCCCTAATACAATAATCTTCCTTATTTGAAAGACTTTTTTTATTTCTCTTGCCAAATTGCTCTGGCAAGAATTTCCAATATTATGTTGAATAAAATGGGGGAGAGCTGGTAATCTTGTTTTTGTTCTGATCTTTGAAGAAAAGCTTGCAACATTTCACCTCTGAGTATGAGGTGAACCATGGACTCATCATATGGCACATATTATGTTGAGGTGCTTTCCCTCTATACCAAGTTTAAGAGTTCCCATAAGTAGACGCTGAACTTGCTCATGATTTTTCTGCACCTATTGAGATGATCATAATAATCATATCAATCATAGACTGTGGCTTGATATAAGAACATGAAATCACTTTACATAGGCTTTAAAGGGTTATTTAAGTTATTCAACTGTGTAGGGTTTTCTGTAATGAATTGATCAAAATGATTTATAGTAACTGGCATGTCCTTTATATGCAAATAGTCACTTTCTGAAAGTGTTCATATATATGATGTCTGCTTTCATAACAATTGTAGAAGCTGGTCCGGCTGTCTGTAGCTACTTCCTCACCATGGTACAATGAGATAGTTAAATCATCACATTTCCTAACCAAAACACACACACCTTCAAGTGCATTTATAGCAAAATACAAACCCAAGCAGCTCAAAACCCTGGTCTCCTAATCTTGGACCTGTTCTTTTGTAACATAGATGGTAAATGAAGATGGACAATCACCTACACCCATATTTTTTAAGTTCATGAAAGTTGTTTTATATTCCAAATGTTTAAAGACATGACAATGACAATTTTTCAGTGCAGGAGACCCCAGCCCCTGGTCCTAGCCACTCTGAGAACAGTCCAGAAGGAGAGAACGGAAGTCAGCAAGACTGCCTGTGGGGGACAGTGCTGCTAAGGGCACTCCCTTGCTTTGTAGTGATGATGGTTCTGTTTACAGGGACAATTAACCATGGCATCTGGGAGGAGCCTCAAGTTTATGTTCAATGCTTTGGGAACTAAACCCAAGATGACTGAAGTGTGACTAAGGGCTTTCCTATCAAAATACCAACAAGAAGGAATTACCGGGCCTCCCCGGTGGCGCAGCGGTTGAGCGCTGGGTTGCGAAGCTGCCCGCAGCCTCTGCAGCACCGGTTCGATCCCCGGCTGCTCCCCGGCCACCGGAGGAGGGTCCCGCATGGCGTGCAGACCTCTCCTGCTGCCCGCTGCTCCCCTCAGCAGTGTACTTCGGTCCTTTTGCCTGCTCTGCTCCCCGCTCTGGCTCTGGTGAATTCTCTCACCCTCCCGCGCTTCTGACTGTACCCAGTGCTTGTATAAATAAATAAATAAATATATAAATATATATATATATAAATAAATCTTTAAAAAAAAAAAAAGGAATTACCAAGTCCAGATCATTGAAGGTCTTCATCCTCAAGCCCTTGTCTTATAGTCACCATGACAACTTTCATGAACTTGCATTCTAGGGGCTAGTGTAGACATTGCTGGAAGAGACTGCATGATGCTTATCTTTAAAAAATGGTCTCAGATCGATTCACTTGGTTGGCAAGTACCTAACTATGAAAAGGGAGAGGAGTGTATACTCAGTACTTTGTGCACTTGCAGAGGCCTGGTTGAACAGGGGGCAATTTCCAACCTCCCACTGGTTTTGTTACAGCTGTAAAGGGGCCTCCCACTATGGCCTGACCAAAGACAGGAAGAGGCGCTCCCATGATGGCTGCTCTGAAGGCTGCGCGAGCCTCACGGCAGCAGCACTGTCTCCAGAGCTTTCAGCAGCTGCCACCATCTCCTTAATGACGAGTGAGCCTGGCCTGGACAACCCTGCTTATGTGTCCACAACAGAGGAGGGTCAGCCAGCAAACAGCCCATTGGACTCAGGCCGGAGCAACCGAACTAGGGGTGAGTCAAACGGGTGGTTATCGGGAATGGGCTTCTTGCCTTGGGATTGCCCTCTGGGGAATATTCACTGTGAAACATTCTAGAATTTTTTTTTTTTTTTTTTGAGAAATCATCCTGGTTGTTTGGGCAACAATCCAAGGTCCTGTTCTCCAAAGTGAAATGAAACCACGAGTACCTCAGGTCATTAAAATGTGTGTAGTCTGACTTGGTGAAAGGGGTTGAAACTTGACCTAATGATTCATCCCTCCCCTGCTGTCAGTTCCTTCCTATCTATTCTACTCAAGAAAAGTGCTATTATATTAGTTCAGTCCAGGAAAAAGCAGAGTTTTAAAAAATATCTATCTTTCATTGTCCAAAATACAGATAAACAGATATATAAATCCTATGATCCTACCACCTAGAAGCAATCACCGTTCATGTTTTATTGTATGTAGTCATGTGCACAGGAGGATTTCTATAAAATGTACCTCTGTTCTTCTCTCTTCCTTAGCGCGGCCCTTTGAGCGATCCACTATCAGAAGCAGATCTTTTAAAAAGATTAATCGAGCTCTGAGTGTTCTTCGAAGGACAAAGAGCGGGAGTGCAGTTGCCAACCAAGCTGACCAGGGTAGAGAAAATTCTGAACACACCACTGCCCCTGAAGGTAAATGAACCCCCTTCAGGTCTGGACAGGCAAGGCCTCCAGAATTACCTTAGGGGTGATGATGCCTGAGCACCACCCACTTTCTATGGCCCCTCCTAAAAGTAGCGAATATTTTTCTGCCTCAGTTAGCCGATTTCTCACATAAGTAACTAAAGGCAGAAATTATTCTTTTTCATAAAGAGAAAGGTATTGGAAAACCCTTTCAGGTGCTAATGTAATGCAGATAAACAATAATATGTGAAAAGCATTTAGAACAATACCTGGAATGTAAGAAATGTTAATTATTTCTTCTTACTGCTATGCCTAATGTGTGGTTCTAAGTGTTTCTCATGCATTAGGCCATTTAATCCTCACAATGACCTTCTGAAATAGCTACTATTATTATCCCTATTTTACAGATGAGGAAACTGAGGCTCAGTTAACTTGCCAAGCTCTTGAATGCAGGCAGTATGGCTTCAGATATGATGGTAGTAATAGTTCAAAACTGATGAGATTAAATAACAAACCCATAGCCATCCAGTTAGAAAATGGTAGGCCTAGGAATTTAACTTGGGGCCTCTAGTTCAGAGCCCACTCTGACAGCCTACTGGGTTCTAGAGCCCACCACTTCTGCCATTTAGATGTAGAGCCAAACTTCTGTCTTTCTCATGCCCATAGAGAATTCATAAGCAGTCATGTGAGAGAGCCCCTTCTTGCTTATTTATCACCTCTTACCTGTACCACACATGCTGCATGCTCTAACTACTCTGAACTTAGTATGGTCCTGTAAATAGTGTTTCTTTCTCTCACTTCTGTGTTGTGAACTACCTGTATTCCCACACCCCTTAAGCAGGCATCTTAATCACTTCTCCTAGGCTCAACATAGGTTTTACCTCCTCCTAGAAGTCCTCCCTGATTTCTCAGTATGCAGCTGCCGGTATGAATGAGTTCCCCCAAGTTGAGAAGGTTATTTGAATCAAAGAATGAAGCAAGCAAGTCCATTACTCACACTTAAAGTTTAATAAGGTCAACTTAGCCAAAGGGGTCCTCAACATCTCAGCCATGGAAAGGACTTACGGTAGAGGCAATATCCATACCACTCACCTTGATGGGGGTATTGTTATACCCTGCTGAGTGTGAGTGATCATTTTTTCATAAGACTGGTGGTGCCAGATGATGTCCAGAGGATATGCCACAATGTCTTTGTTCTACTGATATTAATAGAGTTGTGTTTGGAACAGGACACAGGTTAATACACATGAGAAAAACAATGGCTACACTGCTGTCTTTCCAGGGTAGGGCAATTTACTGGTCATGGGCCTAAGGTGGTGTCAATACAAGATTCACTTGGGTTTTCCTTGTACAGTCCCCCTTCCTTTGTTTTCTCAAAGCACCTGTATCTCTATCATAGCAAGGATCACCCTTCATTGTAACTGTACCTACATAGAGCAGAGGTTCTTTTTCGAGTCTTTTGCATTTTCAAGGCCAAATACAGTATCTGGTACCTAATAGTGGTCAGCAAAAGTTTGTGCAATAAGTAAAGGAAATAATTGCAATTTCTGCCAGTTACCCCTTTTTCTTAAAGGCTCCTTCCCTCCACTTCATATAAAATTTTCTCCTGCCTGAGTAAGGTTTACCTGTATGTTTATTTTAGAAACATTTTTAAAAGAGATTGCTATGTGTAAGGCGCTGAACTGGAATCTATAATTTTATAGAAAAATTACAAAGTCCAGTTCCTGGATGCAAGGGGTTCATGCAAGACTAAAAGAAAATAAACTGCATTGATGACTGAGGTGTACATGAATGTCAGTGGTAGCCATAGGGAGAGGAGCATCATGTCTGAGCAGGACATGTAACCCTTGTTTAGGGAGTGCCATGTCACCTGGCTGGGCATTGGGGTCTTTCTCTTTTTTTTTTAACCCAAAAGGGCAAGTTTATTATAAAAAGGGACAGAAGAGTAAAGGACACTGCACAGACACAAGCAGGCAGAAAGAGCTGCTCCCTAAAGGGGGAGATTTGCTAAATGAGAGGCCTGCTCAGTCACAGGGGGCAGCCCTGAGAGGAGAGCAGCCTCTGCTGCTTTGCAAAGGGAGAAGGTTGATGAAGAGAAACACCTGCATAGTCACAGGCGGGCAGGAGGTCTGTTGCCAGGCATGGGGATCTTGACATTTGTTGGTAAGTTGTGGGGGATGAGGTTAAGACCTTATTAGAGAGGGCCCTGGGAGCCATTTGGCATCTGGACTTAATTTTGGGCAGTGAACACACCTGGAAACTTTTGTGTAGAGTTTTTTCCAAATCACAACATTTCCAGAGGATGAAGATGACAGCCATGTTATGTGTGCAGGGCACTTAAAGCAAGAGAAAGAATTGTCTTAGCCATTCCAGAAGTGATCACTGCAGAAGGGGGTGAAGGAAGTAAGGCAGTGGCTGGTAGTCATGTCTGTACAGGGACCAAGGTAACAGGACTTTCAGAGATGGCCTTAGGGTGTCACTGCTTCAGCAACTTGCAGTTTGTATTCTCATGTCATGGTTTATCCATCTTATATGAGTAAAGAGTCTGGTCCCACCACTTAACCTTGTGAACCTGGCCTGGTTAGCTAATTTCTTTAAAAGCTTTAGTGTTCATCATCTGGAAAAAAAAGGAATAATCAGCTACTTCACAGGTTTGTTGTGAAGACTAAGAAAAAAAGCTATGCAAATTGCTCAGCTCAACGCCTGGCATATAATAAACACTTGTTAAATATTCTATCCTTTAGTCCTTACATGAGGACACATTATTGAACAACTGTTTCCTCCCAGACCAGCACAAATTACGGCATTTTAAAAAATGCTTTCACTCTTGAAGTTCACTAGGTCTCATTGATGTGGCTCTAATTAACATCATTTACATGTATGACTGAGTATGCCCTTGCAAGCTGTCAAGTCAAACATCCTTGAGTGGTTTAGATTTTGGAGTATGGTTTTATAAATGTGTTGGCAGGGAGGGTAAGAAGAAAGGGGGAAGAGAGAAATTCTGCAGCTTTGATTTCCAAATCTTTCTTAGTGCAAAATTATTTTTTTAATTTCCATTTTCTTGTCACCAGACCTGTTCAACAAATCCCTGTGGTATAGTCTACTTCATGTAATCAAAGTAGTTCAAACATTAATGGAACTCCATCGCCGAAGCACTGTCGGCACCAGGGGCTGACAGATTAAGATGCTGCCCACAGCCTTACAGCAAAGCCAGTCTCTTACGTTCAATCCCAGATGGAAGTTAAGGACCCACATTTACAATGTCACAGGCTTCCCCTGGCCACTAATTTATCATGTTCTGCAATACTTAGAAATAAGTTTAATTCTTTCTGTATTGTTCCTAAGAGTTGAGCACTCAATGAACTCAGTTCATTAGGGAAAATGGACTAAGTTGTGTATTTTTTTTAAACGGTTATTTTTTAAATTTATTTATGCATACAAGAACTGGGGTATTGGCCAGAGGTGGGGTGGGGGGATAAGAGGATTCACCAGAGACAGAGTGGGGAGCAGAACAGGCAGATCTACTGAAATACACTGCTGAGGGGAGGCAGCAGGCAAGACAGGAGATGAACTCATCAGGAGCTGACCAGGGATGAACTCATGCCACAGTGCCTGGGGTAGATTCATAGTGCTGAGACTTAACCCCTGCACTACCAGGGAGGTCCAAGTTGTAGATTTTGAAAAATGGTCATGTAAAATGAATCAGCCATACCAGTCCTGCAGTTTTGATCTTCTTGGTCACATAATTAAGGAAGACTTAGGGCAAAGGCAGAACTGTCAGCAACTACAAGACACAGAAGCTACATCTCCACTCCCCATGTCCCAGTGAGCCTCAGGCAACTCGTGAGAGTCTCAAGGAGCCACTTCTCCTAAATTGGATGTAGCGTTCATTGCATTTATTGAATGTCTTCCCTCTGCACGCATCTGTTAAGCCAATGTGGAGAATGGCTCCAGTTGGTGCAACGCGACTAGCTTGTAGGTCAACAGGGCAAGTCTGCCGTGAGACTGTCATGGCTATGAACCCCCTAAGGGAGCTAACAGGAGTCCTGGTTTTGAGGGCCACCTAAATGTGTTACCTCCCAGCTCAAATATCCTCCTCTGTAAAATGTCTGAGTGTCTGTGGTTCTCAACCTACACAGCTAGAGCATCTCTTTTGTGTTGAGTTGGGAGGAGACCAGGGCGTGGGAGAGTCCATGGGTAAGAAGAGTCTCAGTTAAAAGATAAAGTTTGAAAATACCTGCCTAGATTTTCCTTAGTATTGTAGCTCTGAATTTGGTGATTTGAGGCAAACCAGAGAGAAACCTCTCTTCTAGAGCATGAATCATGCCCTTTGACTCCCCTTTACTAACAAATGTCAGATGTAGAAAGCTATGACTCCCTGAGTTAGAAATACAGAGGCTTCTGGGAACAAACCTTCAAATGATCTGAGAAGGCGAAAGAACAAGTTTGTTCTGTTTTGTCCCTTGATGAGTAGATGATAAAATTTTCAGGTCATCCCATATCACCCTTAATTCTTTCATTCATTCATTCATTCATTCATTCATTTCTGTTCACTTGGTGGGCATTGGCTGAAGTCTACAGAGATCTGTTGCACAGAACTACAGGACAGCCAGAATGTACGTCTGCAAGGAACTTAAGAGTCCATTGGGGGGGGGGGTGGTAAAAGAAATGGTCACAAATGATAATAGAAGGGTGAGTGCTTTAAGAAATAGTTTTATGGGAAATGAGATGTTTAGAGGGATCAGGCTAGAGTTTCATTGGACAAGATCATTTCTTACAGGCCTTGAAGGAAATTTTGCCAGCAGAGAAACTTCTGCTGGCACAGCAGGAAAATGAAAAACATGGATGAGGAACAATGAATAGTTTAGTTTGGCTGAAACCAAAATTTTGTAAGAGGAGGGGCTGGAAATTCCTGTTGGGTTGGTGTCATTAGTAAGTACTGACCTTGTCCATCGTAGTCTTTCCGAGGTTGTATCACCTGATTCCAGATGGTGAAATTACCAGCATCAAGATCAATCGAGTGGATCCCAACGAGAGCCTGTCCATCCGTTTTGTGGGAGGAAATGAGACACCCCTGGTTCATATTATCATTCAACACATTTATCGTGATGGAGTGATTGCCAGAGACGGCAGGCTCCTGCCGGGAGACATCATACTAAAGGTGGAGAACATAGCGTGGGGACATGGGAAGGGGCATAATAAAAATCACTTTAGAATAATTGGATGGATAGGTAGGTAGATAGATGGAAGAAATGTTAAATAAATGTGGGGCAGTGACTTTCCATAGTTACTGTTAATGCCTTTTCTTGATTTCTGATTTAATTGAGATAGATCTTTGTTACTCTTATTCTTTTACTCTGTCTCCCTTATTCTCTCTGTACATAAATATTTCTCTATCATTTCGTCATCTTCCATCCCTCTTCTTCTATCCTCTAGTTAATTCCCACCTCCTTTTATTTCTCGCTTCCTTCTGTTTTTTCTTTCTACTCACCCTCCTTCCTACTTGAAGTAACATAAAGTAATACAGAATGGGAGCATGCATTTTCTAAAATTGTTTCTAGAGCAGGTTCGCGAAACATTTTGCATTTTATCTAATCACACATGTTCACACACCCTTCTAAAATTCCTGTAACTTAATGGCCCTTCCTGGGGGGAAAAAAGTCAGCCCTAAGCAGTTCCCACCAACCTGAAGACACTTTTGAGGGACCGTGGGGAAACAGCTGCCTTGGGCTTTACTTTCCTCTGCAGCTTGGCTGGGGGGAATGATTTAAGGAGGAATTTCCAGGAGAGATGATAAAGGAAGAGTTGTTCATAAACATAGAAGTCAACTACGTGCCAAAAGTGACAAGAATTCCCTCCCTGGTCATGTATTTTCTGTCTGCTACTCAGATGACCATTTCATCCCATCCCTTCTAAGTTTCCAAATAGCCAGCACTTGACTTATCATGTGGTATTTCTTTCGGAGTAAGAGGAGAAAGAATTGAAAGCAGTTTGGGTGGAAACACAGCAATTCCTACCAGCCCCCCACATGGACTACAAGACAGGGCCCATCAGCCTGGAGTTCATGGGGGTTAGCAGTATGGTCAGCGACACTGTGTAGCTTCCTCCCCGATCTAGTAGAAACTCTGCTGCCTGCAAGGGTGGCATCATAAAGCATGTGATTCTTATGGGCTATGACTGACTCTTGCTGGCAAAAGAGCTGCCAGAACTCTTTAGTGGGCTGCCCAGACCTGCTGTTGGCCTGAATGTGATGGGGGAAACCAGGACCAAGCATAGTGGTCTTCAAGCTCACCTGCTTGGACAAAGGTGCTGAGTCTCGTCTGTGCATGAGGGAGCCTCCACCCTTCCCTGGAGATGCAGCAGACACCCACCATTGTAAGTTGTAGGAAGGCTTTTTAAATCTCACTCCAAGGCTCTCTAGCAATTGGCTGCAAATGCAAGAAATCTCAACCACAGAATTCAAGAAGGTTGTTTCCCTTCTGTGGGGCCTCTGTCCTAAAGCACGGAGTACAATGCTGCTTCCAGAGCAGTGCCCTCCACGGTGGGCAGGGGACAGGGGGAGTGTTGCTCAGAGTAATTAAAACCGCAAAGCCCACAAGCAGCATCAGCCCCACAGTCATGAATGAGGCACACATGAGAGGGCCCAGCTTGAGTAGCATAACTAAGTGATCAGATCATCAATAAAAGAGCCTAGAAACTTCCATTCACATCAGTTTGTTAAAATGGCATACAAGATTATCTTGAGACTTCACACACACACACACACACATTCATATGTAGTCTTACCACTCACATATTCACACACTTGTCAACACACACACACATTCATGCACACGCACACACAAATATACCATCACTCTCTCACACACACACATAATAGTGGGGCCCGGAACTCCCAGTAGGAGTGATCAGAGAGAAAAGTTAATCTGGAGATGTTTGGAAAGAAACTATCTACTCATTTTATTTGAACTATAGGTGAAGGTTATCTTTTGAGCTCAATAGGAAATTTTCTTCTTTTGCCTTTTCCTATTTTTCCTTTTTTTCTCCCTCTCTCACCTGAGAATAAGCATGGCAAGCAATAGAACTGAGGGTTAGGATTGTATAAATAAGGGGGGTGGGCTGTGAAACAGTGTGAAGAAAGTGTGAAGAAATATGGTGCCTACTCAGAGATGAAAAGGAGGTACAGGTGACACTCCAAGAAAACAGGGCTAGAAGGTTGGAAAACAGATATGGGGTATTTGGATGCAAAACAAGGCAGCAGCACCTGGGGGTCGTGGGGGTTAGCAGCACCCAGACCCCCTGTTGGGAAGGGTGGTGACAGGTGGGCTGGTGGCTCAGTGGCTCCAGGTTCTGAAGTCCCCTTCTCCCAGGTCAACGGGATGGACATCAGCAACGTGCCTCACAACTACGCCCTGCGGCTCCTGCGCCAGCCCTGCCAGGTGCTGCGGCTCACCGTGCTCCGTGAGCAGAAGTTCCGAAGCAGGAACAATGGACAGGCGTTGGACACCTATGGACCCCGGGATGACAGTTTCCATGTGATTCTCAACAAAAGCAGCCCCGAGGAGCAGCTTGGAATAAAACTGGTACGCAAGGCAGATGAGCCTGGTGTGTTCATCTTCAACATGCTGAATGGGGGCGTGGCCGACCGACAAGGCCAGCTGGAGGAGAATGATCGCGTTCTAGCCATCAATGGACACGACCTCCGGTACGGCAGCCCAGAGAGTGCAGCTCATCTAATTCAGGTGGGTCATGGGCTTTTCCAAGATCCAAGTTAGAAACTCGGCGTGAGTGATAATGCTCATTGTCCCGACCTTTACTGCACAGTACCTCCCTGTAAAAAAATCAATATGGAAGGGCTAGGTAAGAGCATTATTCAAGCAAATGACGTATCTGCAGTCTGGAATGTTCCCTAGGTGTTGCCACCATCCAGTCTGACTGCCAGTAAACGTTCGTGGGGCAGCTTCAAGTTAAGATCACTCAAGGTCAGCAGGTTGTGCTATCCTGTACCCAGTGTGTCAGTCAGTCTCAGACCTAGAGGTCATTCAGATACAGTCTAGGCAGATCCAAGACCTCCAGTTGTACTGACTCCCATGAGAAGCTCTGCCATGCCCCTCAGGGCTCCCTTGGAAAGGCCATGGGAACTCAACATGAACCTACATGGAAGCCCCCCTAATAAGAGGCATAATTATTGATCATTCAAGCAAATAAAGTACCCAATGTCCTGAGTGCTTCAAACTAATCACTCTCTCAGCCAGTGAGATGATATCAAGCCCCAACATGCATCATGTTAGCTTTGGCTGGATCACTAGGAGTTTTTATAATATTCAGAGTTTCTAGCTTTATTCTTAGAGGGGCAGGTTTTGTTCTGGCCTCTTACATTCTAAGCTATTCTTCACTTCATTTAGCTAAAATGTATTAAGTTCCTGCTGCTCGCCTCATCCTGAGTTAGATTCAAAAAACAGAAATGATCACCCTAGACTGCTCTCCCAAGGAGGCCAAAATCTAGCAGGAAAGAGGGACTCTTAATACAACTGTTGTTTGGTGTGATAGTATTGCATTGGAGAGATTAAGTATTGTGCCGGTGCAGACAAAGAGTTTTGCTTAGATGTCCTAGGAATTCTTAAAGAGGAGGAAGACCTTAAACTGGGTTCCCTTTCAGGGATCAGCCAGCAATCCAGGCAGATGAGGCAGGGAGGGTCTTTCTAATGAGATACAACACAGAAGGATGTTTTCCTAAAAGCCAGTAAGGAAAATGGTTAATACCTGGAACATGTGTTATGCATTGTAAATTGCATATATATTATGTATACATTGTACTATGTATGTATATTGCTTAAAAAGTAGCAATAGTTGAGGCAGGACTGGTAGAAGGGCCAGATCAGGTAGATCTTTGTGATTCAAGCCTAAGAGCTCAGACTTCATCCTCAAAGTTATGGTGTATTATTACAAGGGCTCAACAAAGAAAGTGACATGTTCTTCTAGAAAGATCCCTCTAGAAGCAATGGAAAGTTGATAAGAAAGATGCAAGTTTAAAGGCCTTGTCTTAAGAAGCATTTGAACCAGCCAGCACATAGTAGCGTCTTCTCTTTAGTGACGGAAGCTGTGATACCTCAAGAGTAGACGGTGAGTCAGCAGTAGGCCTCTACTGAACCTTGCACCAAATTCCATGAGTACGATGATCAGAAGCCAGAGTCCATCCTTGAGGACTTGAACCATCTAAGTACAAATTTCTCTACCCTTGGGTTCTGGTTATACAGCCCCTCCAGTTGTTGGTAACTCTTTCCACTGTCCTGAGTGGGGTATCATGTCCCTCTTTGAGGAGAACCCAGTGGTAGGTGACTTTATTGTCCAATGAATGGTGGAGAGTGTGCTGGGGTTATACACTGTTCCTTCTGCACCAGGAGAAGAAACATATGTGGTGCCTTCACCCTTGAACTATGGCATTTTGTGATGTCCCCATTCCAAGTTGATTCTGGGCTTGATGAATATTCATCTTCCCAACAGGACCTAAGGTCATGCCCTGTGGAGAAAATGGAAAACAATGCAGAATTATAAGAGACACTTCCCTTCTGGAGTCTGTGCTATCTGTTTTCAAATTCATATGTCCATCTCCAGCTGCTGGGTTTCTCCCTGTGGATGTCACAACAGGATCTCAAACTTAGTGTCTAAAATTGAACCATTGACTTCTCCCCACTCTACCTCTTGCCAAGCCTGTTCCCTAAGTCTTTTCCAGTCTCTATAAATGGCATTACCATTACTCAATTACTTGGGCCAGAAAGACACTGTTTTCAGTGTCTTCCAGCTGTCCACCTCCAAAACTTCTATGGTGTCTAATTCAAGACATCATTAACTTTGGTCAGAGCCTCTTAACTGACCTCCTTGCTTCTGCAGTTGATCTCCTCCCTTCTGTCCTGCACACGGAAGTTAGTTCTGGCTTTGGAAAGTGATAGTTCTATCATGTCCCTTGTGGCACTCAGCCCTCTAATGCTGCCCAAGATACTTGGATTAAATTCCAAATCCCTATAATGACCGGCAGGAGCTCATAGGATCTCATGTCTCCAACTTCATTTCCTAATCAAAGACAAGAATTTTCATTAACCAGGCCCATGTTGCCTTCTTGCTATTTTTCAAAAATTTCAATTTAGGACTGGCCCTCTGGCTGGGAGAATCCTCAAAATATCTGCATAACGCGCTTGCACTTAAATCACATCTTTCCTTAAGTGTCATTCCTAAGGAGACCTTCGCTGACAATCCCACTTGAAAAAGCGTCTCCCACTCCCCATTCTCTTTCTCTAATCAGCTTTATTTTTTTCTATCTACCAATTATCTGCCCGAGTAGTGTTTTATCTCAAGCATTTAGAGACATGCCTGGAAATCACGGACCCTCAAATATTTGTTGTATGAACATACTAAGTCAAATTATAAATATGTAAATATACACGAAGCATAATTCACACGTTACTTCCATCTCAGAGGATCTATTATCAAATCACTTATCGTAAAACCCACAATAAATCTACTTCTACATGCCATTTGTCCCCAAGATTGATAGGATCTTTACTTTTTGTCCCTTTGAATTTGTCCAGTTATTTTTAGTTGGTCACTTTCTATGTGCCAAAGGTATGCAGCACAGCAGTGAAAAATACTGACACAGTTCCTGGCTTCATGGAGCTTGGAATATATTCCCATCTCTTTTCTCACATACAATCAGGCAAGTACTAAGCAGATGACCCTAGCCTGTATGTGCCAATGGGTGAGACAATGTTATCTAATAACATTGGAACAAAAAAGTCCTTTTTTTTCTGCATGAAGCATGATTTTCTTTTCTCCCTCTAAAAAGTAGGTCTTTACATTTCCTCTTTGGAGAAGTTTCTTTTTAGCTCTTCTGCCCAATTTTTGACTGCATTATTTTCTTTGTTTTTGTTGAGTCTCATCAGCTCTTTGTAGATTTTTGTGATCAATCCTTTATCATTAGTGTTGTGTGCAAATGGCCAACAGGCATATGAAAAAATGTTCAACATCACTTGTAATCAGGGAAATGCAAATCAAAACTACAATGAGATACCATCTCACACCAGTGAGAATGGCACATATGAAAAAAACTAGCAACAACAAATGTTGGCGAGGTTGTGGAGAAATAGAAACTCTTCTGCACTGTTGGTGGGAGTGCAAACTGGTCTAATCACTATGGAAAGCTGTGTGGAGATAACTCAACCTGCTAAAGATGGAGCTTCCATATGATCCAGCAATTCCACTCCTAGATATTTACCCAAAGGACATAGAACTCTTCTGCACTGCTGGTGGGAGTGCAAACTGGTCCAACCACTATGGAGAGCTGTGTGGAGATTTCTGGACCTACTAAACATAGAGCTTCCATATGATCCAGCAATTCCACTCCTAGGTATTTACCCAAAGGACACAGAAACATTAATTCCAAAGGGCACCTGCACCCCTATGTTTATAGCAGCACTATTTACAATAGCTAAGCTTTGGAAACAACCCAAGTGCCCAAAAATAGATGACTGGATCAAGAAGATGTGGTACATATACACCATGGAATATTACTCAGCAATTTAAACACCTGTAGTTTGCAGCAACATGGATGGAGCTAGAAGGGATCATGCTCAGCGAAATAAGTCAGAAAGAAAAAAGAAAAATACCAGATGGTCTCACTCATAGCAGGAATTTAGAAAACCTAAATAAAGGACCAGGAAAAAGACTAATTAATACAAAGTAAAAATCAAAATCAACAAGCAACTGTAAACCAGAGACACACTATGGAGGGCGCGGGGGGAGGCAGGGAGAGGAAGGATTAGGGTCAAAACAACGGGGGGGTGTGCAATTGTATGGGGAATATAACCAAAATGAAAATGCATACATTGTGCAAAAATGAAAAATGATGTAAGAATTATATAAAATTATTTAAAAAAATTTTTTTAAATAACTTAAAAAAGTAGGTCTTTAGGCAATCATCACTTGTGTGTGTTGACTCTTGTTGACGCCCTCTGCAGGTCCATCAGTGCAACTCACATTCTAGAGATAATCTGCCAGCTCTACTTGGCCATAGGTAAAGGGAAAACTCCTTTACTTGCTTTGTTTAGGAAATTTTTGATTACATATAACATTCTGCATTTGTTGATTAATAACAGAAGAGGAACACAAATTTCCCTGAGAAAATTTGTTTACAAGAGAAGATCTTGCCCAATAGCAGGACTTGCTAAAAGATTCCTCTGCTCATTAAGCAAACCTAATGTGCTTTAAAAGCAGCCAGTTTGGGCAAGGCCAGTTGGAAAAGAAATGGAAAAAGTAGAATGCTGGGAAAACTCAGTTAAGCAATCTCAAGAATAGATTTTATTTATGTGATACTTGTAACACACACCAGGCAGGGGGATTAAACTAAATACCCTTCAAAGGTTGAGACTCAAATTTCCAACCAAGCCTTGGCTGCAGTGCCCTGTGTGTCTACTCCATGAATCATAGTCACCTTACAAAGAAATTCCCAGACAACATGTCGTTTTGGCCATGCTTTTTCTCATAGTACCACACATTCTGCCCTTTCTACATTATTTCAGGGAAAAGTTAGTACAGAGAAGCCACAACTGTTTTAAATTTGACCAGCTTTACATATGTGGAGCTCTAACCTCAGCTTACTCAGCAGCAAGCCTGGGTGCCAGATCCCAGAGTTACACAGATTAAGAGTCAGAAGCTCCAAGGAGACAGGGGCTTCAAACAGGGGGCGGTT